ATATCAATAACTCGCTCTGCAGAGTTCCATTTCACTGTTGTTGCTGAAGAAATGTAAAATGGTTTCCGTGTTTTCATAGCCTGATGTAAACACGCGGGAGGTTGGGAGAACACGAGATAAGCGTAGGAAACCACGACGCAAAGCGAAGTGGTTTCCAGCTTATCGAGTGTTCTCCCAACCTCCCAAGTGTTTACATCAGGCTATGTAAACACGAAAAACCATTTTACATTTCTTTTATAAAATAACTTATGAAAGAGGAACGAAAACCGTGTTTACATACACTCATGTAAAATGGTTTTATGGCCAATCAGAGCGCGCGTACTATTTGAATTATTTTAGAAAAATTCGTAACACCTGCCAACATGTCTAGCGCGGGAATTCTTCTGAGGTTATGAGTGCCAGGTTCCTCTACAGCTGTTTGAATTACAGTCAAGTCGCCCACGAATCAACTTGCCCACGCCAACTCGCAACGGCGTAAAGTTAACGAATCGTTGTTGAAACTTCAGTCACTTTATTATCATTCCAAAAAACATCAATCTTTTACTTAAAACAAGATTTATTCTACAACGAGCTAATTGGAGTGATTTTATGCACGGGCGAGTTGACGTGGGCAAACTGGTATGTGGGCGAGTTGATCGGATACCATTTTTGAATACGATGCTCTCTAATGAAGTACTGGTACTGAACTTGACTAGGCCGCAACACCAGAAAGACTTCTGTGGCTTATCGCATCTCCTAGCCATGCATCAGGTGGAAATTGCAGCCATTTCATAGTTTTCTAAGTGGAGCAGCTATTAAATTTACCCCATGTTTCGAAGCATCTTTTCTCTCTGAGTCATTGCATTGAGAGACAAAAAGAAGGGAACATGAAAGCTATTTCATACTTTTAACTGGAGTGCTAGCTCCTAGTTAAAAGAGGGCAAACTACCTCCATTTCACTGGACGGCAATGAACATGACATTAGCATGACTGGTAGCATCCAGCATATTCTTCGACTTTTTCAAAGATCGCCATCTGCTAATCTGTTCAATTCAGGAATCATTTTTGTGTAAATGTTCATTTAAAGTACAAATTACTGAAACAATGGGCTCATTTGAGCCCATCGCCTGTCATATTTATCAAACAATATTGCCATCAAGCCCAGCCGACCAGGAGAAACGATCTGTCCTGAAGACGAGAATCCAAGAGAGAAATTAGCAACGAAGTTTGTTTCCCTTGTGTCTACGTTGAAATAGGACTTGTCATTGATCTCCGAGTTCGGCATGATTTTGTTAGATGTGCCAGGGCTTATCCGTTCTTATGATCAAATTTCCACAAACTTGGCCATCGATATGTGCTGAAATAGTTTTTCTGCTCTATAAAGATACAGTTCTGACCAAAATAATTAAGAGGGGTTGCAGAGTTTGTTTAAGAGAAAATCTCGATTTTTATCACTAGTGAGCCTCCAGCCAGAAAATCAGCCATTTGAGGGCGTCAACGTGCGCGCGTCTAACGCGTGAAAATTAGTCGCAGCACGAATTCATCCTTTTTTCTTCAAAAAGTGTCCTCAGCGCTCAAAAGGTGAGCAAAAGAGGAGAGCTTTTGCTGGACGGAGAGCTCATTGTTCTGGGGGTGTTTATTGGATTTTTTTTCTTCCACTGAACAGGCACTTTGTTTGGGCAAAATCATTATGGGACATTAATTTAAATTTTCAGTGAAAGCACATGGAGAGAAGTAATTGAAAGAAATAATACAAAAGCAACTGAAGTTTGCATAATTTTAAAATGACAATGAAAGATTGTTTTCTTCCCTCTTCAACCCTTCCTCTAATAAAAATGAGGAGGTAGGGGTTGCCTACACAAAAGGATACTTATTTCATTTATTACATATAAGAGCATGAAAGGACACATTAGCCTGTACAAACACAACATATCAAGGCCCTTCAGACATATTTAGTAATAGAGGTATAGTGGAACTTGTATTGAGTGCACCCCATATATATAATTACCACAAGCCTTACTTTGACCCAATTTTGCTTCCTCATTTTCTCTACACTAAGCCAGTATAACTTTGTACAATACCATTGTCAAGTGGACTTTGGTAAGTGTCCTGTTGGGGTCCTCTCAGAGGAGAGGGAGATATCTGTCTCAGAAACCATACAATTTTTATCTCCACTCATAAAGATTGTTTGATGATTTTTTTCAAATATGCTCTTAATCGGACTATGGATGCACTATTTCACTATTTCACAACTCAGTAACTTAGCTGCGCACAAATCAGATGGCCTCAAACACAAAGTGTGCTTCACAAACAGCTGTTGGGCTAACTAACAAACCAAAAATCAATACTCAACATAAGATTAAAAATTTTACACAGCTCTTTATTGTCCAAAAAGATCTCCAAGAAATGGGAAATAATGGAATGAGAATTGAATATCCCACAAATAGCCACCAGTTCATTTGAAGACAACTTTGAAATAGTTAGGTTACTTTCTGGAATTTCAAATGCAGTTAAGTATCATAATTTAACAAAAAAAATATTGAGGGGTGGAGAACAAATAAAATTCTTCCTAGCCAGAGCTAAACTCTCCTAAACAACAGGTATCACAGTGGTCTAGATGTCAATTTCTCTGATTGGAAGGTTTTTCAGTCTGTGTCATCACTAAAAAAGGATTCCTCATTCAATCCCATAGCCCTACTGTGTGCAGCTGCTGCAGCAGCAACTGAAACAGCCACTGAAGACGGGAAAGTTCCCAACAGCGAAGGGGGTCTAACGGGATGCTCGTTTGCATGTATACAAGACACCTGACTGTGTGTCTCATTTGAGGACAGCCACTTTTGATGACAGGAGTCCCTGAGATTGAAACAGATTTTTGTTTCGTCTTCTTTCAGTGTTGTAAGTCCACCTTGGCCACCATGAGGCCATGTTTTACTATCTGTGTTTGATACATTGAGGAGATTATGGGTAGGTTGTTTCACTGCAGGTTGGACAAATCCTGCAGTGCCAATGAGTGGATCCTTTGCCTTTGAAAGCAAAACAGTCTTCAGTTCTTGTAACAGTCGCTTGTTTTCCCTTGCTTCTCTCTGCTCTTTTTCAACATCCTCAACATTTAGAGCCTTTTGGTCAATCATAACTTCTTCATATGGATCAGAAAAGGCCTCATATACCTTATCACCCTCTTCAACATCCTTTGTCAGGTCCAGTGTGTAAAGATTCTGTGATTCTTCCAATATTTCATCACTCTTGGTGTCACAAGAAACTTTGTTCTGATTTGCAGTAGGTTCTTTACCCAGAAGTTTGTTGAAGAGTTCCTCACCCTCCTGCCAACAGGTTAATGCAGACTCAAGATCACTTTTTATCCACTTAAATGCTGTCTCTAAATTCAAAGGGAATGAATTCTTGGCTTTAGAGTCATGATCTCCTTTAGGCTCTAACAATTGGTATCTTTCCTTTTGAATGGACTCTACTCTCAAAATTCCCACCTGAAGGTGCCGTTGAATGCTACGAAGAGTTATTTCAAGAGCCCTTGCTGTCTGATCGACACAAGGCTTCACAAGAGGCTTTTCACACTCTTTGCTCATGAAATAGTAACTTTCATGTACATGATAACATCTCTCAATTGATACTACAGAACATTCTATCATTTTCAATGAAATTCCAAATATCTTCTCTATATTTTTAAAGAGTTTGATGTATAATTGATTCAAGTTACCATCATTTACTTCAAGTGATAAACAAAGCAAGAATCTACTGAGAAATTCTGACTGCAGGCTTGAAAGTAATGAAGCCACATTTTTTAAGCCCTGCAATGACACTTTTTCAGTTGAGTCATCTGGCACAATTTCCTTGATTCCTACATGCAGATTTCCAATGGATCCTGTTGAAAAGTATGTAAATATCTTAGTAAGTTCTGGTGGGAGAGGAAAATGAAAGAGTAGCTCCTTAGCAGAATTCTGTATAGACAACAACACAGGCTCAGTATTTTCCATAATGTTTTTTCTTAATGTTGGAAATATCACTAATTCTGCCAAGTTTTCACTGTCTCCTGAGAAAAATGCAGGCATCATTGGGCCTACCATGGTATAACCTTTTGATGTTAGTTCTATTTCTTGAATGAATTTTATAGATCTTTTCACCAGGAGAGTCAGCTGTTTTGTCTGCTGTGCAAACCGTTTCAGTGCAACTAAATTTGTCTGATGACGATGAATGAAGAAATATCGCAGTAAAACTCTAGCAGAGGACGCAAAGAGTATCACCAAAAATGCCAAAACAGAAGGAAAGAGAAGACCGTCAATCTTTACCAGAAGCAGAGAAATAACCAGCAAAATTAAAGATAAAATATAGTTTCTATGAGCAAAAGATTTCCATTCGCCAAAACCACTTGCCATTTCCGCTTTAGCACTAACGAAGAGTTTGGGATCAAACTGGGATAAAAAACTGGTGTCATCCTTCTTCAGTGTTTGTGATTCATACACAGCCACGATGTAGTCATTCCTGAAAGTTTCAATATCATTCACTGAAGGTACTAAAACAAACCACGACAAAGACGAGCTGTAAACATACCGAGCAAGCTCAATTACGGTCTGTGAAAACTCAACGAGACAATCTTTGTAGGTCCAAACGGAACCATGGTTGCTCTTTTCAAACTCTTCTTGCCTTTTCCGACCATTCGTGTCTTCAAAGTCAACATAACCGATTTCGTTGAGGTATTTTTGCAAGGGTGAGTTTTCCAAAACTACATCCTCGTCTTCCATTTTTTTCAAAAGTGTAGACCGGTCATGAAATGGTATTATAAAGTACCCCACTCAAATTCTTTTTGTTTCTTGCGAGAAAATCCTCACTCTGTTGTTAGAGGGGCTTCTTTCTTTAGTGTGAGTGAGACCTGAACGAGAGCGAAGATCCAACCGGACGACTCTTTCAACTTGATGCTGAGTTTAAGATTGTGCGCTATAGTTTATAATACACATCGCGCACGCTACACAAAGTAGATCGAGGAGAAGGACACTATACTCATAATCATACGAAGCATAAAACTAGACTTAGCAATGGCGGACGAGTACATTAACGCTCTGAACCTTAAACCTCTTCCATTAGGAGGTTATTACGTGGAATCCCTAAATGCAATAACTAAAGTTCAACCCCTAGATAGCTCTGGGCGCCAAGTAAGGGATGCGTATTCAGTAATTTATCTTCTCCTAAGGGGATCAGACATAAACGCGTGGCACAAAATGAAGTCAGGGGAGACATATTTCCATCACTTGGGCAGCCATATCATCTTACACATGATACATGAGGATGGCAGATACGAGACCAAAATTATTGGGGACCCACTGAGGGATAATAAAGCCAGATTTCACTGTCATGTGCCAAAGAACGTGTGGTTTGCTTTAGAGCTTGAAGACAAGAGTGGCTTATGCGTGTTCAGTGAGGCAGCTGGCCCAGGCTTTGACTATGAGGACTTAGAAATTGGCGATAGCGACAAGATGATTGAAATGTTCCCACAGCATAAAGAGATCATCGAAAAATTTTGTTTAAAGTAGACTTTAAATGTGGACTGAAGATTGAGACTAGAAATTCTTGATTTCTTTGGGGTTGTCACGCAACAGCTTCCTCTTAATCTTGTCTTGCGTGACAATTCATCGTGATGGTTATCACAGTTAAATTTGTGATGTGAATATTTAACAATAATTCACCAAAGTAAAGTTGAATAGTGGTGGATGTTTAGTGAGCCATAAATCAGCAAAGTAAATATCCACCACTTTCACCAGCACCGACATGGTGCTGACATAAATCAAATCTAACTTGAACAACGCGAACCTTCAAGTATCTATCAAATCTCAACTGGTTTCTTGAAACTGAAATAAAATGAATTAGAATAGGCCATAACCATACGATACACGCTAATTGAAATGTCCTAACACTCAAACACACAGGGTGTGTATAGATCAATCAAACAACACAAATATCCCAAGTGAAACAATACTACCTTTGATTATACACGTTTTGGTTTATAAATACAAAAATAAACAAGATGACATACCTCTTTTCTTGTTCTATCATTCTAGTATTTTGACAATCCTTCAATCTTGCTTGCAACTAAGATGTGTCTTGTGGTCGAATGAAACAAGATGACGACAATTTGAAAGTATGTCCACAAAACAAAAGGGTATTGAAAGTTATGTAAATCACAACCAAAAATAGCCTTCATTACAGTATATACCACACATGCCAAAAAAATTAGTTTATTTCTCTCAGTATACTGCAAAAGGTTGGAAATTAAACTCTTGACGCATGGTTTTGTTTCTTCAGTTACCCAGAGGTGAATAGTACTTGCTATTCTCTTTGGAACCAGCCAATCTGCGAGTCCAAAAAGGACTATTCACTTGTGTCATATATACTTAATGAATTTATTTGCAGAGTTGAATCTGGGCATGTGATCAGTTGTTGTTAATCAGGCCTACATCACATAAACAGTTGACATTTTCCACCAACAATTATTTGTGCATTGCTATTTCATTCCACATCTCGAATCTACTGTCACAAAAACAACCTAATTTGTAGAACAATGCTAATTTGACTACTTTATTCAATTTAATAACTTAATTAAAATGCAGGGAAAACTACAAAAATGCCACACACAACAGAACAGGGGCACTTCTATTGATGCTTAGTGGAATAAGGGGTGCTTAATGGTACAGGGCACTTACTGGAATGAAAGTGTTTACTTAGGAGTTACTTATTAAAACATGAGAGCTAATTAACAAAAACAAATTTGAGAGGAGTGCGGATTGGAACTTAGTTTATTTTACAGTAAACCATCTTAAATTACTTCCAGAGCTGGGCTGAGAATGTTTCTATTTTTTGAAGCAAATATTCAGCAATTCCTTGCAATTAAGGATCATATCCTAGAAAAAAAAAAAGAAAAACAAATTTTATTTGATGACAATCACTTCCATTACTTTTATTGGTTACATATAGAATTTCATCACTAATTTGTTTCATTGAAATGATATTTTACAGGGTAAGTAAATAACTGTGCTTGAGAATCTTTAGACAAATGTTCCACAGAATGCATCATGTATACAAAGTAAAATTGAAAGATACTGATGGGGGGACTATGTTAAAAATTCACTTGGGGGTTGTTCTAGTCAGATTATTGAAATTAGCCACCCGCTTGTCATGAGATGATGATGGTCACGTGGGACATGAGACATGCATGATACTTTTGTTTTCACACAAAAGGTAATGAGAAAAGCTCAAACAGACTTCCTAATGCAAACATCAATTCCTTCTTTGAATTACTGCATTCTCAGTATGAATTTTTAAAAGAAAGTACCCAAGTGGTCTTTGTCTGCTCTTAGGTCTATAAAACCTAAGTCTCTCATAAAAATAATTTTGTTGATCAAGCACAGTAGAACAGCAAAGGACATGAGAATATTACTCCAAGTAGTGTAGGCTGCTGATAGCTGAGACTTAACACAATTATGCATTTCTGTGACAAAAGATTGCAATGTTACCTCATGTGCATCTGGGTCATCTTCCATACTGGATGTAATTATAGATGACAGAAGTCTCTCCAAATCAAATTCAGGTCTTTGGCACTCATTTATGGCTGGTGGATAATCCATCACAAAGGTCTTGAACAGATTTATTACATGTGCTCGAGAGGAATTCTGAGGACCTCGTAATAATCCAACAAGCTGCTCAGTAAGGCCCATCTTGAAGAGAGTTTCTGCAAAGAATGCAGGCAAAGTAATTAAAAAAAGTAAATAACCTAACCAGAGTTGTATCAGGTCAAAGCAACATCACCAGCTCAACAGCCACAGTTGTTTTCACTTAATTTAGAAAACTTGGTCGGAGATAAAATAACAACTGCAACTACACAAATCAAATTAGGACTGTAAAATCAGAAAGAAAACTACTATAGTTGCTCATTAATTTTAATCTATAAAAACAAGAATTAATGAGCATTTACAAAGGTATTTTGACAATACCTTTAAGTGTAGGATTTATCATCAGCAAATTCCTTGTCATGAAGGCAGACTTGGTTATCAGTTTTTCATTTTCTGCTTGCATTGTTCGAAATAACATCGAAACTCCATCATCTTTTAAAAATGCCTCCTCAGCTTTGGGAAAATTTCTTGTTAAACCTAGCATGAATAAAAATTGTCAAGAAGTAAAAATGAAGTGTCACAGTTTGTGCAGTGTGGTGAATGCTCTGAGCTGCACATGTATCTCAGTTGTTTAGAGGCCTTGACACAGTACATAACAAGACATTGCAACATATATGGGGGAAAAAGTTGGAATGAAAATTCTTATAAAAGCAATAGACCATGGAGGCCTGTGATTTAAAAACTTTTGGCATGTTCTCCCAACATCCTGTGTGGGTCTTTATGCTGGTAAACTGATGGAAAGTGCAGTCCATTGCTAAATTCAGTTTCAATTTAAAAAAACTAAAAATATTGTAACAAGCATTTTAAGTCCTGACAGGGTCATCATACTCACCTGATATTGCATATAAAGCTTTGATTCTCACTTGATCCAACTGGTCAGTTTCAAGCAAAGAAGTAAGTGTTGGAAGGATGTTCATTTCCATTGCTGCCTTTTGACAGTATGGATTATTCTGAACACACACTGCCAAAATGTCAGCTGCTCTCCATCTTAAAGAGCTACAAATTAATAGAATGGAATCACTTTTAGTAACTGTTAGCTATGTTTTAAGTATACAATAAATAGTACATATAAGTCTCATTGTTTTGAATTACAGGCACATGTATCCTTGAGTATGGTCTAGCTTGTACCTAACCAGCAGAATGATTATACAGAGAACAGGACAAGGAGAGGAGGGTGACATTTTTCCTCTTGTGCTGCCTCAGGCTGGGTATGAACTCATGTCATTACTCTTACTGACTGCCCACTAAGTGCAGTCTGTGGAAAGTGAGGGAGCACACAACTATAGGTGACTCCTCTATTACTGAATGACTGGATCCTTTTACTCAAAAGGTATTATTATTGGCCTTATGCCCTGCACTTAACCTAGAGCGCCAGATGATCAGTTCTCACCCCATACACCCTAATCATCCGAATCCATATTCTTCCTAGTCTTCTCTTTTGCTTTAGTACCGACAAGGAGAATTTGTTTAATAATCAAAGCTTCTCATATCCACAAACATTTCCTTAATTCTCATGAATTATTCAGCAGTAGGCTTTAAGGAGAAATTAGATGCTAGTCATTCTTGGGGTTTAATTACAGGGTGTTAATCATTCTCCTGCCCTCTGACTTGTCTGCCAGCAGAATGACTTACACCAGCATACTTCTTACTGTCAATGAGACACAGTCTCTATCAATTACAAATGTAAACTATCCTACCATGACAAGGAAGGGATTCCACAGGAACAGTCAAGACAGAGTTTCTCTATTATTTGACCCTGATATCTAAAATTGTTGCACCACATGCTGCTCTTCTAAGATTTTGGATTGGCATAACTAGATGATCGCACTCTAATAAAGTAAAATTACACTGATAAAGAAGCTGTACATTATTTAGTTAATTACCTTACTGGTGAGCAATACTACTATTACATGTAAGCTACTTTTATTAATCTTACTATCTGCAACTTTAGAGCTTTCTTGACAAGACATGTGTACCTGTGTTCACTTGAGAGGCATTTAATCATCACCTGATAGCCTCCAATCTTGTGAAAATCTGTGATAAAAATCAATAATCTGAGTTTCTAAAATAAAGTAAGCCTTCAAAGCAAATGGAAAAAAAATACAAGTCACCAAGTCTTGCAATAAGTAAAGAGTCTCACTTAAATACTCTACAATAGTAAATGTAGCATGACATTTTCTCACAGAGAATAATACTCAGTATACTTGATTCAAAAACATGTTACAAATGAATATCATTATTGAAGGTGTTATTGAGTATTGTGTGACCTCATGTTTGTGTGTTTGAGCTTTAGAATCACATGCATACATACTTCAAGTGATATTGTAAGGAGAATTTAGATGCTAGTCACTCTTAGGGATTAAAGGATTCATGAATAATTCAGCAGAATTACTGTGAGGAGAAATGAGATGCTGGTCACTCTTAAGGATTAAATGATTCATGAATAATTCAGCAGAATTACTGTGAGGAGAAATGAGATGCTGGTCACTCTTGAGGTTTAAAGAGTTCCAAATGAAATTAGTGCTTGGTCAAATTGTAACCAATGTTATTACATTAAGCTCCATAATAGAGCTGACTTCATTTTTTCTGTTTCTTGTGCAGGCATATATGTGACATCCCTGCACTCTTTAACTCTTTTTGGAACACTGTCTCGTTTCATTTTACAGGCCAGTTTACAGATTTCTATCGTAAAGCGAAGAAGGACTTTTATTTTAAGGAACTTGATTTTAGCGTACAGTTGGTCCAGTCGCTGCCTAGGCACTACTGTGATTTTAAATGCTTCTAAATATTCTATACCGTAATTGCTGTAGTCAATTTATTCAGATGTAAACACATGAACTCATTTAATATTTCTCTTTTTCAAAACTTATAGAATATTTCTTAATTTTTACCATGGTAGTTGTATTTTGTAAGTAATGTTATCCCTATTTTAATATAGTTTCATATTGTAATTATTTTTACAGGACCCCACAAGCTTTGAGCTTTAAACCCTATTATGTTTAAATAAAGGATATTACTATTACCAGAGTGAGTGCAAATTTATAGGTTGGGAGTTAATGGCTCAACACTTGATTTGTTATGGAGTGTACATACCGTTTGCATTATCTAAATCTTCAACAATCATGGACAATTCCTCAAATGCATCTTCCTTCTCCCCAAGGTCATCATCAGCATTATTTGTGTCACAAGGTTTTTCCAAAATTTGTAAATATTTCATCATTCTTTTGACATCTGTGTCCTCAGCTATAGATGATAATGCTTCCTGGAGCCATTCTCTTCTCTAAAAGGAAAAACATAATTATTGAGTGACATGACTCCACCAAAAGTACAAAAACAATGATTCTAACTGATAAAGGCACAGAAAGAAGGACCTCTGTACGACTATTTTTGTGGTTTTCAAAGAAATTCTTGCATATTAATCCTATCAGATGGCCTAATTTTCGGGCAAGTGCATAATTATGTGTTCAATACCACAATTGCATAGGACAACTATGCATATCTATCCATAGCAACAAATATGATGGCAGCTGTCAAGTCTTCATCTATTTTTATAACCCTGTTCATTTGGCCACCCACAATTTCATGGCCCAAATATAACTGACTTAAGGTGATTCCTCAGAAAAACCCCATTTATACCTGTACTGGCACTAATCACCAGTCAGGGGTCTTACAGTAACACTTGAAAAAAAACTTGATAGGTAGAAAGTTTCAAGTGTATGGAACAATTTAATATGTAATTTGTGGGAAAATCACACGAATCTAAATGACATTGACTCAAAATGTTTCTTGAGTTGTTTCTTTCAAAGTCATAATTTGCATCCTCAAGTAATGGGCTTCATGCACACTTTTATCTTTATCTTTTATCCCATCAAATAATTTTTTAAACATTTTTTCTAATTTAAAAGGGATAAATTTTCCACCAAAATTATGCCATAAACAATATAGGTCACTGGGCTTGTCCACAAGCTTAAGACCATCGTACCTCTTTACTTGGTCCATGGATTGAAAAACAATACCATGTTCTCGAAACGCACATAAGCCCATACGTGATTTTCATGTGCAATGCAAGATGTGCGGTGCAAAACGGAGAAATCACCTTAATTCTCTACCTCACTACACTACTAGTCACCATCTCATAATGACAAGTACAAGCACAAGCATAGACAAACCAGCAGTGAGGAGTGAGCAACACAGACACAAGTATATAACCATCCATAGAATGCTTGGTTGGTGTCATTCTATATATATGCTTATGCCTGTAGCAGCACATTCTCACTTAACAATTATACATGATCCTCAGCACAAGTAGTGAAAAACCTTCTGTTCTGGTCTTCCTGGTGCTCATGCCTATGTTTAATACAGCTCACAGCCCTTGACGTTTGTCTTGTATATTGTAGTAATAACCAAGCTTAACCTTTTATTTCTCAGATGTGATAAAAAAGGAACTTCTCCCAATGATATCCATATATTATCCAACAAACAGGTATGAGTATACTCAAACTTATCAGACAGAAGTTTCTATCTTGATCTAAAACCAAATTCTTGCAAATAATTTACAAGGAAATACGCTGCAGCTAGAGGGGAGAATTAACAATCAGACCTTGAAGGGTCAACTTGCCAATTCTCACAATCTCAAAACACTGTCCAGTGCAATAGAAACAATTGAGTAGAAAAGGCGAATTCATCATTTAGGGATATTGCCTTGATATCACACTTAATTCTCTTAACTAATTTGCAACCAAATGCAAAGTAGCTAGAAGGGAGAACTGCTTTTCAGATCGTGATCTGAGGGGGGATCTGTGGCTTTGTACTTTAAATCTAGAAGCATGTACCTCCTTACTCATTTCCTGGAAGGCACTGGAAGATGAATTCGTGGGATCATCTGAATGATTAAGAGCAAACTGCATTACTCCCTGTAAGTTGCGCGGATATCTTCTTTCATCTTCTTCGCGACCGGCCATATCTTTCAAAGAATAGTCTGTCAACAATTCAAAACAGATTCGCACAGACTGAATTTCACTTTCGCCATCTCTTATATGTGGGACTGGAAACTAGTATCGAGTTAGACACCACATGTATGATTAAATACATCATATAGGCAAAATCTTTTACCTCTGACCATAAAATACTGTAGGCTTACCCTCAAGATGGCTGCCGAGGGCTCGGTGAGTATACCATCTCTTTTGCTCCTCTGCACATCTCTTGGCCTTTTTTTTTTCGAAAATAAATGTTACGGTATAATCTAACCGACAGAAAAACACTACAATCCTGCAAACTCAACTACTTTATTAAACAACGAGTAATATTCCTAATAAGGAGCGACTCCTTAAGGCAGTACGATACTGATCCTCGATGAACTTACTTAAGCCCAACACAGTCTATGTCTTAGCTCACCACTGACCCAAACTCACACTTTCCTCCAAAGTTTCTTTAAATTAGCAATCTTCCACTATAGCTTGCTTTCACGGTATAGTTTCTAAACAGTCTGTTACAGCAACAACTATTACTACTACATAACTGAGTCCTAATATACATTCGCAAAGTGTTCTGGAACATTCCAGAAGCTTACCAAAGAACTATTTAAGTAGTATTGCCTAATAACTGTGTAACTTGTTGACATGTTTGAGAAAGTTCTATGGTGCTCATGTCAGCATGACTAAGCAGTCTGGAGATTAACTTCTAGAAGCTTATATTTACAACAATGAATTACTCAACGTAAAGAAAATTTTATTTTCTAGGGAAATGTACTCTTAGGAAATACATTGTGTTTTACGATTTCTTGGTTGAGGCTTATAGTAATCTGCTGATATTAATATTTCCATTATAAACTTGTTTATGCCTGTAAAAAATCCATTTATGAAAAAGAGGCTAGAGTCCAAACTCTGTAGTGTATTAAACTTGTCAAATGAACTACAACAATTGGCTAAAATAAAAATTCAAAAACTTCTTGAATTCCAAACGAAAAGAGTAACAAATTTACGCGAACAAAAGCTAAAAAAACAACTGACTAAAACTCCATGAAAACAAACTAAAAGTATGCAAAAAATGTCCACATCAATTTTTCAATGCCGAAGTAAGAGCTCTTTGATGTGATTGGCTAATTTGTGAAATCATGTGCACTGTGCACGGAGAGAGGAAGAGAAAAATTATTACTTGAAATTTAAAAGCCATAGAGATATTCTACAATGCCGACTCCTTACAGTACAAATATATTTAGGCTTTCACTTGATCTTCCACAGTCTTGTTTATTTATGACTATGCATCCTCCTTATAAATAGCAGGTATATGATTGTTGTCTGCTAATTTTGCTTGATTAAGTGACATTTTAACTGTGAAGTAGGTAAATGAAAGTGGAATGAAATCTCTCACAGTGATCAAAATTGTAATGGTTTGAGATAGAATTAGCCCCTGGCATGCATTCCACAAATCTCCAGGCATGCATTCCACAAGTCCCCAGGGATGGAAATTTAGGAAAATCAAAACAAATAAGTTGTTTACCTCACCAACACTTCCTTACAATACCAGTGCTCTTTGATTGCAACTGATCACCTGAGAGAATTTCTTTGATCTGTAACAAAATTTCAAGGTAGTGGTTATGAAAGGATATATTGAGACCAGAGAGCGAATTTTATTTATTGGCTCAGAGGTGTAAAGGGTTTATTAGTGACAGAGATATTTTGTGATGAACAGTGAAGTGGTTTTGAAGACTGTGTTTATTTTAAATTTGGAGATGACAAGTTCTCTTCTCATAGATGTGCAAATTTTGGTACTGAGTATTAAACAATGTTGATTTTTCAAATTATGAAGGATGGGACTGAGGATGGCAGTAACTCTCAGCTTAATGAAACAACCAAGGAATTTCTTACAAGACCTGTAAGTTTGCAATTATTTTAAGTGAAAATGAAACAGCTGTTATTGGAGCCACTTCAACCAAAGCAGTCAGAGATGATAAAATTAATGAATGAAGATATTGTATTTTTCCTATGATAGCAATTATTGTATATTTTATGTTAATTATCCAGTTACAGTAGTTGCACCATAGACTAGTTAGTTTGACAGAAAGGTTATGCAGATTTTGTTTCTAGAAGTGTTTAAAATGGATTTTATTCATTATTATACAAATGCAAAACTTTCAGCTTGTGCATTGTGTAAAAGCATATAATCTGATTCTAAACAGTGTAGAAGTTGAAATTGAGTGAGGAAAGCTGAAATTAAACTTGTTTACATTCACAAGTACCACCAAAAGAAGTATTGGATCAAAACCATGTTAAGACAAAATAAGAAAAAAAATAGTCAGACACAGTCATGCATGTCTCTTTGTTATACGTTAAACTGTTTTGTCTATATGATATTTTTGTTTCTTCAGGCCACTGTGGAGCAGATTAACATTGAAGGGTACTGGAGAACCAAGAGAGACATTTTAATTCCTGGCATCAAGAGATTATTGAAGGCCACAACTTTTAATGAAGTAATACTTCTTGTTATAAAGCAATCAGACACAACTTAAAACTTTGAGAAGCTTCTCACTTTTCAAATTCATAAAATGGATTTGTGTAAGTTAAATGTTATAGATTACTGGATTTTGTAATTTAAGATGATTAGTATGAAGCAGCTCTGGGGCTGTGGGTGTTTGATGAACCAAACATTTTAAAAAAAAGCAGGAACAAGAAAATTAAGCAACATTTTGAAATTCCTTGAATCACTTCAGACTGTTTGAAGGCATTTACGTCTTTATTACTTACAACCTTACTTTTTAGCTAGGAATGGACCTGAAACTCATTGGATATGAAACTAATTGATTTGAATTATTTGGCAGCTAGTGGAATTGGCGTTTGAAGCAAAAGAAGATTTGATGAGTCTTGGAGTGTTTCATGATGTTGATATGCTCATTGATACAAGTGCAGGTAATATTTGAATTAAGAGTGTTACAATTTTGACTTTCTCAACTGTCTCAACCAGACTGTTAATCCCAGTTATACTGTGGCATACTTGAGTACACAAAAATAGCAGCAATAGCAGGACTGAAGGAGCACAATCAAATTCATCCATGACAAGCAATTATGAAGGAGATGCCTGTGACTTAAATGAAGCCAAGAACTGCTTGCAAGTTTAGTGGATAACTATGAGAACCCTTGAATAGCTTCTGTCTCAGTATCACCACGCATCACACATCACACATTCTACATCACACATCACACAGTGGTTCAATAATTACTTCCTTTACTTTCTAGGGAGCAGGTAAGGTAAGAGAAAAGCAGTTTTGCAAGCATGTTCAATGTAAAGCTAAATAAAGAAATTATAATCTACCATCAGCAGGAAAGTTGTAAATTCCCAGTAACCCTGCTGAGGTAATGCATAGTTCCCCTGTTTTCTACAACTTAAACTTTAACTTGAATTTCAAACTGCATCAGTGTTTACATTCAAGCTAAGCTGCAGTTAGCCTGAATGGCCCATGTTGTCATTGCTAGCACAGGTATAGAGTGAAGCAGTGGAGCTTTTCAGTGCCTCTGTCCTCACATTTAGTCCCTTTTTTCAGTCCCACTTCCCTTTATATTTCCCGATTAGGCATAATATTGGTTAACTAACCGATAGAGAATTATTGAGGAAATAACTTTGGATTATGGGTCAATTTGTAGATCACTCAATAAACCCAAATGGGTATGATGTGACATTCCATGTAAAAGAAAAAAGACTCCTTACCAGTAGTACAGGAACTCAAATTGGTAACAATGAAGGCAATATGGTAGGTTAATAATCCATTTGATATTTATTAAACAAAGTGCTTCAGGTAATGGAAAAAAAGCCAACATTCATAGAACCTAGTGGTTAATGCAAACCACATAATATTGGTTTGAGAAGATGGAAAAGATGCTTCAGAGATGACAGTAAAGAAATCAGGATTGAGGGTTTTACAGAACGGAGATAGTGTACTAAGATCACAAATGATGAACCATGAAGCTGGAGGCTATTTTTTTACAAGATTTGCTAACTACAGTATGACAGAGCTGTTTCATACATGCTCCACATGCCTAAGGATAGC